TCCCTTTTTAGTCTCTTCATTAAGTTTTGCATACGTGGCACAATAAATAACAGAATTTCAAAGTAAAAAGACAAAAAAGGGTCTATTTTCTATTTTTGCAAAAAGTCTCTTTTTGGTTCTCTACTTTTGACTAAAAAAAAAACCATTTTAGTCCCTATACTTAAAAAACCCTTTTTAGTCCCTTCTATTTTGGAATTTCTATTAAGATAACATACTACAGGATAAAAACTTAACAGAGGAACTAAAAAAGGCTAGATTTCAAAATTTAGGGATCAAAAGGGACTTTTTTAAGTAGTGGGACTACAGGGAGAATTTTTTACGAAATTAGAGGAACTAAATTAGGGTTGATAAGATTAGTCAATAAATGGAACATTTTTTAAAATTGGATTAAAAGACCTAAATGGTTCCTAAATTTTGAAATTTACACTATTTTGGACCCTAAACTTTCAAAAATACCTAAATGGACCAAATCGGCATAAATATCAAAATTTTAAAAAGAGTGTCTTGCATGAAATTAAATGTAATACGGATAACAAAAGAAAAAAAATTATATACTACATGCAAGTATTATTTTCCAATTTAAATTATAAAAAAGAACTTTTTAATAAAAAAGAATTTTAATATCACAATTACTTTTTAATGGTTAAAAAATTAATATTTTATAATTTAAAATAGTATAAATTATAAAATACTTTTTTAATACTACCCATAATTATTACTAGTATACCTTTTTATCGTAATTTGCTAATATTATTCAAATTTTTACAACGAAAAACAATATTATCCTGAATGTTCTGAGCAGGAATCTACGTGGCAAGCATATATGAGGTTCTCCATCATCTGAGGCTGACATGTTGGCACAACTTGGTGCTGACAAGTGGGGCTGCTAAATTTGTGAACCGAATTAGACAAGGTGCACATATTTAAATAAAGAAATTGAATTTTTCATAAATAAAAAAAGAAATTAAATCAAATATTCTAGTACTATATTATTTTAATCTCAAAAAAATATACTACACATAAAAATTCACAATAGCCAATAGAATTTGTGGTTCGTTTAAACCATATCCTCCCCACTCACTGAACCTTCCACAACGTTCTGGAACGTACTAGAAATCCGCGGGGTATGTTTTCTAAAGAAAAAATCTCTTGAATAAATCCTCGCACAAATTGCTGGCCAACAATTAAAAGAAATACTAGATCACCAAAAATGCTATCCCCTAAAAATCAGTACAGGAAGGAAGTACACGACTCTGGACTGTCCGTCCTCCAAAGGTTTTTGTTACACTAATTGAGTATGTAAAACACTCAAACTTACCCTCTAGTTGGTATAGTAATTTGAAAATAATAATTAGTAATTTTATTTAAACTGTTAAAATAATTATTTAGTAAATTTATTTATTTTGCAACTATTATAAATTAAATATTTAATAAAATTTTTTATTTAGTAATTTGAAATTAACAAATAACAATTAAGATCTAAATTATTACTGGATTAAAAAAACTATTTAAGGCAATTTTTTATATCAAATCGTTAACGAACTGAAATTTTTTAATTTCATTGACAAATTTATCATTTTTAATTTTTTAAGTTTTAGCTATAATTTTTAATTAGTAATTATTTATTTAGTTTCAACTTTACTTTTTGTTTTTAATAATATTAAGTGATTATTATATTTTTATTTTTATATTAATTTATCATAAAAAATATATTAACTTAATAAATAAAATTTGCTAATTAAACAAAAAAATAAAAAATTTTTTGTACTTGATTTAAAAATAATATAATTTTTTGTTTGTTAAAAATAGAAATTAATGTGTGATTACACTATTATAATTTATTTTATTTATTTATTTTCTTATTATTTTTTTTATAAAACTAATAATTTTAATAATAAAAATATAAAAAGAAAAAAGTACACTTAATTTTTTAAAATATGTCTTTATTAGTATTTTTATAAAACTAATAATTTTAATAATAAAAATATAAAAAG